AATGTCCTACCCAGCTGGGTCTCTCATTTTTGCCAGGCTGGCCTGGGACTGTGATCCTCCTATTTATGCCTCCTGTGTAGCTGGGATGATAGACATGCTCCACTATACCTGGCAGTAGGCACTGCCGAGCAAGTCTTTGAAAGCCAGGACTCAGTGCTTTTTTTCTTCAGTGCCAGTCACATCCTAAATGTCTGGTGCTCAGAGTCCATTTCCTGTTCACGTTGGTCCTGGGAGCACTTCCAGCCCTCCTAACAGCATTCCCAGCTGTGCGTCAGCCCCACCAAGGGCAAGTGCCAAGGGAAATGATTTCTTCTCAGCAAGGTCAGGAGACTATAATCATGGGCTTGGTGCCAGGGCATTGCTGGGGCTGTGGGCAAGACTTGGGCTTAGAGGTGATAGGACTTGGGTATCAACCTTGCTCCACCCCTATCACTTTGTCACCCTGGGAAGGTCCTTGAACTCCTGTGAGCTGAGCTTAGCAAGTTCATTTGTCGTCTGCCACTAGGACTGGTGTATACCATACCTAGGCATCAGGACTCAATGAGATCGAGTCTGATGATTAGCCAGTAGCTTTACTACTAATCATTACTATTGCCATATTGTTCTTGTCTGAGGTGAGGCCTACAGAGTGATAAGGAATTCACGAACCAGACCTGGTTCAGATGCTGGATTGGTTATGTCTTCTTTCAATACTTCTTTGAGCTTCCATTTCCTCATCTGTAAAATGAAAGTGAAGCTGGTGACTCACATCTGCAGTCCTTGCTAGTTAGGAGCCTGAGATTTGAGGATCCTGACCCAAAGCCAGCCCAGGCAGACAAATCTGAGAGACTCTTATCTCCAATTAACCAGCAAAAAAAACTAGAAGTAGAGCCACTCAGGCCCCAGTACACACACACACACACACACACACACACACACACACACACACACACACACACACACACACACACACACACACACACACACACCCTAGTCCCTCCCTTCATCATGATTCTAAGGATGAGGTAAGACATACATAGCAGACATTCAAATGTTAGAGGCCTCCTGCTACTTCTTTATCCAGAATAGTACCAGGAGGTCAGGGTCCCACCCCAATCTGCAAGCTTGCACCCCAAGGTCATCTGGGGTGTGTGGACAGACTTTTCCATGGCATCTTTCTAGAATGTTCTATGAGAAGCCGGCCAAAGTTTATGCTACCTATCGAGGTAACTTGTGATTCTGCTTCTCCCCCTACATATGCCTGACGAGCCTCTCAGGAGACTGAAACCTGGCAGTGGGGGGAGGGGGAGGGTTGGGCACACTGGGCAGCACCAGGGCTCATGTCCTGCCCAGACGTTCGGAGACCCTCCCCACACCACTGCCTGTGAGACTCTCTGCTGACTGCCTATCGTATTCAGACGGGGCGAGTCTCAGCCCCCATCTGGATACATTAGCACTCTGTCTCCTGTTCAGGATTCTTTCCAGCCAGCTCCCCACCCAGCAGGCAGGAAAAGCTTTTTAAAGGTGCCACCCCGGTGAAACCCTTTTCTGTTTGAAGTCCTTTATTACAGCTATGAGCTAGATCTCCAGGCAATTCCCAGCCTGCTTCCTGATTGAGATGCTGGACACCTGCTGTGGTCCTGCTTGGCATGCTTCTTCCTCTCTGGGCTTCTCCATGGCTAGCTCCTCTCTCTCTCTCTCTCTCTCTTTCTCTTTCTCCCTCAGTGCTCTCTTCTGATGCCTTTTCTCCATTGCTCTCCTTTCCTGTGTGATTTTCTCCACCATGAAGCTCTCAGTTCCACGTCTTCCTACAGCCTATGACTGAGTACAGAAAGGTGTGTTTGATTCTGCTCTGCCAGGACACAGGCCTTGTGCTACAGGAATACACAGCCCCAGTCTGAGTGGCCCATGCCAACCGGATGCTGGGAGTCCTGGCTCACATCCATTCACCATGAGCCTCCAGCAGGGCTTCTACTTCTGACAGTCATCAAGGCCTAGGAAGATGGCACTGTCTGAGAGGTCCTGCTTTGACATTTCAGTGTTTTGTTTTCCGCAGAAGCAGCTATGCCGACCCATCATGCCCTCCAACAGGGGCAAGCAGCCCCGGGGACCCCCTCTCAGCAACCTGGCGCAGCTCCTCTGTCAGCCTTTATACCTGGCCAAATCGTTCCTGCCTCCTTCTAGGCCCTTTGTTTTGTGACAGGGTAGCTCTAGGTAGCTCAGGCTAGTCTTGAGCTTTCAAGCCTTCTGCCTCAGCCTCACACACTTGACTGGCGACCTCAGTTGCCTTCTCTTTCTAGCCAGCTTCAGGCCCTGTGCTCCTGCAGGTCCTGCAGTGGCCCACATCCTGTGATCCTGCGCAGGAAGCTTCAGTTCCTCCCATAGATCTCTGTCACCATCTCATTGGTCCCTTACACGCTCTGTTCTCTCTGCCTGGAAAGTGCTAGAGCCTTCCTCCTCACCTCACACAGTCGCTTCCTCTTCATCCTTGGTCCTTTAGCTCACAGCCCACCTTCTCTAAGCAGCCTGAAGCCTTTCATTTGGTATTTCCTCGTGTGTACTTCCTGAGGGATCCTGTTGGTTGTGGACTGTGTTTCTGGATATGACATTTGCTTGGCGTTTCTCCCCGCTTGCTGGAATATGGGCCACAGAACAAGACTTTGTCCTAGGCATCTCTAGGACCCAACAGGGGGCTCCCCAGCTTTTTGTCAAATGCAAGACTCAGAGGTGACATATACTGAGCATTTGCTCTGTTCCTATTGCTCTGTGGCCATTCACGTGACTGAAACTTCCAAAGCACAGGAAGGGTGGGCTTTGCTCCCTGGGTAGCAGCTGAGGACACACAGGCCAGGAAATGACGTGGCTTTTTCCAGGTCACTCAGGCTGAGAGGGGGAAGAGCCAGAATGCCAACTCTCACTGTGAGATGCCCCCTTAGCCACGACACCATCTTGCTTCTGGTAAGATCTTCCCCATCGTCCCATGAGGGCTAAAGAAAAGCAATAGGGACTCAGGGAAGCAAGCCTGCTTCACTGTCACTCACACAACTGGCTAGCAGGCAGTGCTCAGGGCTAGGATCTTGGACGTTCCAAAATGTGCTGAACTCACTTTGAGAATTCAATAGACCTTTGGCCCAGTGAGACTTGGACTCCCTTGGTCAGGGCGCTTGACAACAAACTTGATCCCCAGCTCTGATGTGAGGAGTGCTCTGCCTGGGGCCAGCTGGATGGCTGCTTGCAGAAGAGATCTGGTTGCTCTGAGGCCCCCTGGATAGGAGGCCTTGCTGGAGCAGAGTTTCTTCTAGAGGAAAGGAGTCCTGCAGGTGATCCTGAAGTACCCTGGGCCACCATCTCCCCAGCATGGCTCCTCTTCCAGCCAGATTGCTTATCTGGGTCATCAGTGTCCAGAGATAGCTCCACCCTGGCAGAGATGGCTGTTGAGAATTTTCAGGGTCTCCTGGCCTGGGAAAGGTCCTGTAGTTCATGTGAGGGAACCTGCTGTATTGCTCTGGGCACGTCACACATCCTAGCTGAGATGAAGGAACTCTTTTCTTAAAATATACCTATCCACCTCTGCTGTCTTTTTAAATTGTTACAATTACTTTTGGACAGGGAGATGTAATTGCTTTGTGTTTGCTTATTTAAGGAAACTAAGGCTCAGTAAGGTCATGTGCCTTGTCTGAGATCTCATATACACCATCACGGAAGAGCTGGGAGTTAAGCTAGACTCCCTATTCATACACAGCCTTGGCTTTTTTGGGGGGGTGAGGTGCAGTCCTGGAGTTTGACCTTAGGGCCTGGGTGTTGTCTCTGAGATTCTCAAGGCTACCACTCTACCACTTGAGCCACAGTGCTGCTTACAGCTTTTTCTGAGTAGTTTATTAGAGATGAGAGTCTCAAGGACTTTCCTCCCTGGGCTGTCTTTGAACTGGGATCCTCAAATCTCAGCCTCTTGAGTAGCTAGGATGACAGGTGTGAGCCACTGGCATCTGGCTAGGCTTGGCTTTATACACCAGGTGCTACGCAGGGCTGGGGTATGCAAGAGGTGATCATGAAGACACCCAAGTGGTCAGGCACTGGTGTTATGCCTATAATCCTAGCTACTCAGGAGACTGAACTCTGAGTATTCTGGTTCAAAACTAGCTTAGACAGGAAATTCTGTGATACTCTTAACTTTAACCACCAAAAAGCCAGAATGCAAGTATGGCTTAATTGATAGAACACCAGCCCTGAGTATAAAAGCTAAGGAACTGCACTTAGACCTTGAGTTCAAGCCCCAGTATTGACACACACACAAAAAAAAAAAAAAAAAGAAGAGAAAAGAAAAAAAATGCCTAAGTACAGGCAGCCCTTTCTAGAATACTATAAAGATCTTAGGTAGTCAAATATTAATTTCTGGCAAACTAGATTCCAGTAGTGTCTGCTTCTGAATATGGATCTGATATCATTCAATTATTCCTGTATTTTGTGGTATTAAAAGGATGGAGCCCAGGGCCTTGCATCTTCGAAGCATTCGCCCCACACAGAGTTATATCCCCAGCTCAGAGCCTGAAATGCATTATAGATACTCCCTAGTTTGGGGATCTGCCATTAATCCTATCAGTTAAACTTGGAGTTGGTTTAGTGACATGGATAAGAGCCGAGGGCTTGGGCTTGCTGATTCTTATGGAACTGGTCTTATGCTCAGTCAAGAGCAAAAGCCTTGAGATTGGATTTGAGTTTGAATTTTGGTTCCGAATTTTCCATCTGTGGTTCAAGTGCCAGGGTGGATTCCCACTTGTGCTACTTGCTTGCTGTGTGGTATTGGGCAAGATATTTAACCTCTTTGAATCTCAGTGTCTGTAAATGAGATAGAGTTGAACTCACGCCTCAGGTGAGACTAAAAAGTGGTGCAATCGAAGGGTACAGAAGGTGGCTAATGGTCATCATAGATAATGTTGCTATTAGCTAATCTCTCTCTCTCTCTCTCTCTCTCTCTCTCTCTCTCTCTACCTCCCTCCCCCTTTTCTCTCTGCAATTTGCAGGTAGAGCTTCATCTCCACCTGGATGGAGCCATCAATGTTAAAACCATCTTATACTATTCCAAGTAAGTCCACAGATAATACCTGTCCTCCCCAGGGCTCAGGAGGGACCTGCAACTCCTCCCAGAGAATGCCTCCTGGAGAATGCCAGGGGCACCAGTCCTTCCTGGGGCCCTGTGGGAATCAAGCCTTCCCTGGGCCGGAAGAAATGCTCTGTGGAGACACTGACTCTCGATGACTGAGCCAGGATAGACTGAGAGTGACCACAGCCCCCTCCCCCTCCCTCCCAGGCTGTTAGGGAGATGGGTTCCCCTACTGCACCCCACACTTGTTTGTGGGGAGCTGTAAGGACTCACTAGCTCTGGCACATTCTGTCCTATCACTGAGAATCCCCTCAGGCATTCCTGCCCCTCAAGAGGAAACTAGTTCACTCTCAACTCCAAGTCTCCTGGAGAGTTCTGGTAAGTCCACTTCCTCCATCTTGCCATACTTCCAGTGAGCTTTCCTTTCCCCTGGGATCTGCCACTGAAGTGATCTGTACTACTTGTGTGGCAGAGCCAGCCCTCAGCACTTTCCTGGCTAACCTAGCAGCTCCTCACGCCATCCGCTTCGCACATGCATGCCTGGAAAGTCCATGGCAGAGATTTGAACCCAGTGCCCCGGCCCAAGTCAACTTCCCTTCAGCCCTGCTGCTAGAGGTTAGCAGATCTTGTGCATGTCACTTAATAATAGAGATTAATCAGCACCTTATGGCCTTGATGAGGGGCTGAAGGCTCTGCCTTATCTCTGCTTGTCCTTTGGCTATGTGGAGCTGCCAACTATTTCCTTAGGCCCTGTCAAGGTTGTTAGGGTGGGACACCCAGATGAGATCTAATCAGGGCACTGTTTAGGGGTTATAGAGCACTCCTCGGTAGGGACAAGAAGGCCAGAGTGTCCCAGGTGAGAGGAGAGGGAGGTCAGGGAGCCGCCAGCATGGCCTGCTTTTCCCTGACTCTGTCATCCGGGTGGGCCCTGGGAGGCATGGCAGGTGCAGGTGGAGTTTGTCCTGCAGTGTGTGCAGGCAGGGGGCTGTAAATAGATGGCCAGATGGGGTAGCCAGGGAAGGAAGGATGAGGGGAGATCCTGATCTGTAGCACCTCCCCCACCCCATACCCCACACCCCGCAAGCCAGGCCCAGTCCAGGGGCCACATCTCTGTCTCCATGAATTTTCTCCTCATTTCTTCTTTCTTCTGTTTCTGGGATCCTGCCCTTTCCAGGGGCTTCTTACCTCTTCCTCAGGATCCTTCACCATGGCCAAAGCACATGGAGTCTGGCCACCCTCCCTCCCCATCATTGTGCCGCTCTGAGCCACCCTTGTCCCTCCCTTGCCTCTGACAAAATGGCCCTCCAGTCTGCTGGGCCCCAGGACTGTAGTCTGAGCCATTGTCTTGGGACACAGATTGACAGCTGGCTCCCCTGCAGCCTCTGCAGGGCCACAAGGCCGGATGAGGCCTTAGGTGGTATCTTTGGGGCCCATTGCAGCCGGAGACTCAGTTCATCCCCATGGCCCCTGAGCAGCTTCCTTCTGTGCACCACACTGACCCTGCAGCAGCCTAGGGGTCCTGGGCTGGTGAGGAGCCACAGCAGGCTGACTGGCAGTATGCCAGGGTGGCCTTGGCGGTGCCTACTGGGCACCTACAGGAACTGGGGCGTATCCAGGGGGCCTAGGGAGCAGGCATTCATGTAGGAAAACATTAATTAATTTTTTGCAGTGCTAGGAATTAAGCCCAGGGCCTCACACACGCTAGGCAAGAGCCCTGCCCTAAGCCACATCCCTGGCTCCCGAATGGCCCTTGCTACAAAGGGACATTCCTGTTTCAGGCAGGTAACCTCCTCTTGCTTCCTTGAGTTCCAGCTGCTATACTGTTTCCTCCAAGTCTATCTCTTTCATATTTTGTCCCTTGTGTGGGGGCATCTCTTTGGCTGTCCCTTTTATCTTCAAGATGGTTCACACACACACACACATACACACCACACACACACACACACACACACACACACACACACACAGAGCTGGGTGGAGCCATCCAAGCACACAGGGGAGATTAAGGTTGCAGGGGAGATGGCAGGAGAGGAAGAGACACTGCTAGAGAACACAGCTCTCCAAGCCAGACGGGCGTTCCCAGCCGCCTTGCTGAGCCAGGCTGCTGCCCAGCCTGAGCTGGAGGCTGGTACGAGGGGACAGATCCCTGAGCCGGGTGGCCAGTGTGCAAGCCCTACTCAGGAGCAGCACGCTGGGCCAAACCGGCCACTGTGCTGTGCCAGCCAAGAGGGTGGAGGGGGAAGTCATGGCACCAGCTCCTGTCCCCGGAAACTGTGCTGCTTAGGATATTGCTCCTGGTAGTCCCTGACTGGGCACCAGTCCAGTGGGCTCTGTTCACTGCTGGAGGGGTGGGGAGGAAGTGGTGGGCTTGCCCTAGTACTTAGATCAGCTCCCCAGAGTCCTGAAGGGAGTGTGTATGCATATACACATGTGGACACAAATGAATTCTCACCCTTCTCAGTCTCCTTAAGTTATGCTGGCTTAGAGCCAGAAGTAGTCCTAGTAAGACTCCAGTTCTGATTCTATTAGCCTTGACCTCAGTTTTCCCATCTGTTCAAAGGGAGGATCTGGATGGAGATATTCCTGCTGGGTCACAGAGTCCTTGTATCCATCGGGCCTGGCTGGGTCCTGCCTGGACCTTCATCCTCTCTTCTTTTCACAGGAAGAGGGGGATCCCCCTCCCAGCTGACACGGAAGAGGAGCTGCAGAAAATCATTGGCATGGACAATCCAACCAGCCTCCCAGACTTCCTGACCAAGTTCAATATCTACATGCCCGTAATTGCGTAAGTGGCCTGCGAGCTCAGGTCCCGGAGCAGTGTCCATCCCGGTGACTAGGACCAGAGCTGGCCCTTAGGCTGGGGCACTGCCAGAGGCCCCTGAAGCCCCAGCCTGCCATCACCGTTGTATATACTAGAATGAAGTTCTCATTGCCTTTGGGCCTTGCTTGCCTTCTTAAACAGTTGGTGTGGTGAGCTGCAGAAGTGGCCAAATAGGAAATGGACAGATCCCAGAATCTGACTCATGAAGTGATTATAAAGTTTGGCACTTAACCCTTTCAGTTTGCCGGCAGTGTACAAGAGCTAGCTGTTTATCCCTAGCAAGTGCCTCGTGCTTTGAAGGCTATGGCTCCCTCCATGGCCAGCAGGGGCGTTGGTGTGCCTAGTGACTCCCATGGCTTCTGTTTAACATAACAGAACATCTTTAGACATAGAATATAGATACTGCTGACTGAATCTTACTTACCTTTGGTAGTCACCAATGGCCTACAAGGTAGATATTGCCTGTATTTTTGTTGTTGTCGTTGTTATCCCTTAGGTTTTCACTCAAGGTTACATTCTACCACTTGAGATACAGCTCCACTTCCAGCTTTTTGGTGGTTAATTGGAAATAAGAATCTTAGGGACTTTCCTGCCCTGGATGGCTTCAAACTTTAATCCTCAGATCTCAGCCTCCTGTGTAGCTAGGATTACAAGCGTGAGCCACTGGCGTCTGGCTGACATTGCCAGATAGAAATGGAGGCTCTGGACAATGCAGGGGTGTCTCAGACCCACAGCGGGCTAGGGGGCCATCTTGTTGTCCTGGTGTCACCTTGAGCCTTCTGGGATGAGGCAGAGTGCCCCAAGGCAGGCAAGAATCAGGGATCTGGAAGTTAGGGGTCCAGAAGCTAGGTGGAAAGTCCAGGGATGAGGTAATCAGAGGCACCTAACAGGAGGAGTAAGGGTAGCCAGCCTATACAGGGGTGACATCTGAGGTCAGGTTCGCAGGGCAGGGCAAGCATGGGTGGGGGAAAACTAGCGAAGAGGGTAGAGGTCCATGGGCTGGCAAACATCAGACAGGAGGGGTCCTGAGGAAGGACCAAGTGAGCTCAGGCTACTGGCTCCTAGCTAGAGCCTCTGGGCTGTCTGGAAGACACAGCTGCTCTTGCGTTGGCCCTGGTGAGCAGGCAGACTGGTCCCTATACGCCGTGTGGGAACATTGCTGAGCACATGTAGGCAAGCTTCCTGCACACCAGGAGTCCTGCGTGTACTCACCATCTCTCAAGATGCCACCCAGAGGCAGAAGACAGAAGGCGGAAGGGGCCTGGTACCTGTGCTAGTCCCCTAGGGCCATGGCCCACTAGAGGTCATATCATCCCACGGTACAATCAAAGATATCAAAGAAGAAGCCCTTGGCCCAGGTAAACTGAGGTCCAGAGAAATAGAGTGAGAGCAGGGTCTGAACCTGGGTCTCCTGCCCCCTCATTCAGGGCTTCATTCTTGGAGGGTGAGATTAGAGTATGGGGTGGCAAGAGTAGAGGAGGATTCAGGCCCTTGTCTTCCTGTTTTTATACTGCTGTGGGCCAGGCATATTTTCTAGACACTGAAAAGGACCCAGGAGTGGGCACCCAAGGGTGCCACAGGGAACTCTCCTGACCCTTTGAATCGGTAGGCTTCTCCCTGCTTCTGAACTTTCCGACATCTCCATGTGTCCCCAAGGGCACCATGTCAGTTCATAGAGCCTTGAACACTCCAAGCCTCGCCTCCTGTTCTTCCACCACGCCATGTCTTCCTCTCCTGTCTTCAGAGGCCAAGCATGTCTGACCTCATGCCTTCTGCCCTGGCTCTTCCCTCTGCCGGGAAGCCACAGCTCACCTTCTCTTGCACAGTGAGGCCTTCCCTGCCATATTATTGAGCACCGCTGTTGCCAGCCATGCTTTATCTGTGTCTGTGGGACTGGCTCTGCCTGACCTGCTGTGTTTGCCGCTCACTTGTGTGTCGAGCTCTGGCTGGCAGAGGGCTCTGTGAGGGGGAGACCGAGTTCCCAGAATGAGCTCCCAGCTGTGGGGAGATGGGGGGATGGGGAAGTGGCTGGGCCTTTAGGCAATGCGGTGAGTGCTCTCCTCCCTGTGTGGAGCTGAGCACAGGCTGGGATGCATTCTCTGTCCCAGAGGACCAGCGTCCTCCTCCTCACCCAGAAGGCCAAGTACTTGCACTATCCCTTCCTCCTGGCTCCAATGAGACCTTTACAGCTCACTCTGTGGTATAGTCCTGGAGCTTGTACTCAGTCCTAACAACTACAATACTTGGCATTTGTCTCCTCTGTGCCAAGCACTGGCCCAGACGATGTTTATAATGTGTGGCTGGTTTGTTCTCATCTAAGTGGTTGGAAGCCATTAGGACTCAGAGGAAATGAGGGACATACTTTAGCATCCTTTTAAAAACATGATTGGTGTGGGTATGTGTGTGTTGCTGGATATTGAGCCCAGGGCCTTGCACAGATTGGGAGAGTATCCTTCCACAGAGCACCTTTTGCTCCTGGTTTACATTTTTAAAGGCTTCTTCCAGCTGCTGTGTGGGGAAGAGCAGGGGGTAGGCACAGAGACAGAAGGCAATTAGAAACAACATAGTCCCAGCAGGGGGGAGGAGGAGGATTGGCATGTCATCGGAAGTAGAAATGACATTGTATTATAAATAAATCTGCTTATCCAGCAGGTGCCAGAGCTTGGGACTAGGAAATGAGGTATTGGGGACAGAAGTAGACCTGATCTGCCCAGGCTTGAGGACAACCTCTTTTGCTCAAGGATCTTGGAGAAGGTTGACCCTCCAACCCCATCTTCCCTTCCAGGGGCTGCAGGGAGGCCATCAAAAGGATAGCCTATGAGATTGTGGAGATGAAGGCCAAGGAGCGTGTGGTGTACATGGAAGTGCGCTACAGCCCCCACCTGCTGGCCAACTTCAAAGTGGATCCCATCCCCTGGAACCAGGCCGAGTATGTGACCGTGGTGGGAGGGGCTTGCAGAGGATGTTGGCTGGGTGGCCCAGCCAGACACAGAAGCAGTATGCGGAGGGATGGAGACAGCCTGACTCTGACACAGCCCATGGCCCCGATTGGCTTTACTTGGCCCTAAGAGGGACAAGAATCACCCCTTAACTTGGTGAAATCAGAAGGCTGTATCTCAATGCCATAGCTCTGCCTGCTGTCAGGAGCATTAGCCTGCTACTGACCTTTAAGGTCCTGCTCTATCCTATAGTTGAAGTGAGTCAGGCTCATTCTTGCCCATTTGCCTATACCCCTCAAATCTCTATTCTTATATATACTTTAGCCACACTCCCCATCCAGGAGTGGGAAGGGCTGTGTCTAACACCCCCATGCTGGGATCTAGAAGTGTCAGCAGTGCAAAGGAAGAGGCCAGGGTTTGCCAGGACCTCTGTCAGTCTTCTCTCAGAAGAGGAGGGATGTGAGGAGATTTGTTCTTTCCCTGGCCCAGGCCCAAGCTTTCTGTTTGCTTCAGGCCACCTTCTTCTTCTCACACAGAGGGGACCTCACCCCAGATGAAGTGGTTGACCTAGTGAACCAGGGTCTGCGGGAGGGGGAGCAAGCCTTCAATGTCAAGGTCCGGTCCATCCTGTGCTGCATGCGCCACCAGCCCAGTGAGTACCACACTGCCCTGCCGGCTGTCCATCTATGCGTCTGAACCTGCTCCTTTGGTGCCCCTGAGCACCTTGGCATGATCCCGGAGCTTCCTAAAGATACCACAGGCCTCTTAGGCAGACTCAGCCCTTCTGGGCAACACTTTTCTTCCCAGGAAAACAAGGCCTTGGCAGCCACATGACTTCCAGGAAACTCAAAATCAAAGGATCCTGAACATACAAGTCCAGAGAGTTCCCTTGAGACCCTAGGGGCCTGGCCTCACCCTATCTGAGCCACTGATTGATAGTTTTCTGCACAGGTCTGCTTTGAGGGGTCTCCTGGTCATTGACACTGATCAAACCTCTCCGGCTTGAGCTTCATGGTTCAGAGCTCTTGTGCAACCTTGAGCAAGTCATGACACCTCTCTGTACCTCAGTTACACTTTGTCCCAGGATGGCCGCACCTAACTGCTTTCCTCTGCCCTAAGCATTAGTAGGCATTAAAGCCAATGGCCTTTTCCAGGAGGAAAGATTTACCTGCATCAGAGATTTCCACTCATTATTCCCATTTGACAGATGGGGAAACCAAGGCAGAAAAAGTGAAACCTCTTGTCTCTTAACCAGGAAAGCACAAAGCTTGTGTTCAATCATTGTGTGTGTGTGTGTGTGTGTGTGTGTGTGTGTGTGTTTGTGTGTGTGTCTCGTGGTGCCTGGGCCTGGGCCTGGGCCAGTCCCTCAGCTCTTCAACTCAAGGCTAGCACTCTACCACTTGAGCCACAGTACCTCATGCATGCTAGGCAAGCACTCTACCACTAAGCCACCTTCCCAGCCCATTAGTCATTCTTAGTCAATGCACAAGAGTAAGCTTATGGGCTCAACAATATGGTGTGAGTTACAGCATTTCTTCATCACCTAAGAGGGGTGCAGAGCCCACCTTGGGTAATGTTGCAGGTACTGAGGAAACAGCTCATCTGCCACTCACTGAGCCCTAGCTCTGTGCTTGTACTTTGCCCCCCAGACCTTGGCATAGCCTTACCATAGCCCTGGGTAGGGGCAGTCTGAGGCTCAGGCAGAGAATCTGCCAAAAGCCATGTGGTTAGAACACAGCAGCCAGTATCTGAAGACAAGTCACTGGCCCTGTCTTGTGTGGGCCTCAGGCAAGGGTATGGGGTGCTGCTGACAGGGCCCTGGGGGGCATCTCTCCACAGGCTGGTCCCTCGAGGTGCTGGAGCTGTGTAAGAAGTACCATCAGAACACTGTGGTGGCCATTGACCTAGCTGGGGATGAGACCATTGTAGGAAGCAGCCTCTTCCCGGGCCACAGGGCAGCCTATGAGGTGGGCCTATGGAAGGGGATTCTCTGCCCTGAAGGATCTCACAGGGAGAATGTGCATGTTCTGAGTCCCCCCAGGTGTGTCCTGGTTGGAGCTGGAGTCTGGAACTTGGTATAAAGAAAAGCCAGCATGCAGTATTGGGAGTGCTGGTTGACCTTCTGTCTGCCTATGATTTGCTGTATGGCCTTGGACCAAACTGTCTCTCTTTGGGCCTAGTTTTCCTGGTGCCATACTTCCTGTTTGGCCTTGGTCCCATTACTTAATTTTGTGAGCCTCAATTTCCTTTTGTGTAAAATGAGTGTGATGTTTAGAGGTGCTAGAACATGTACACACTTTCAAAAGGTGCCTCTCAGTGACTACATGATAAATGACAGCCATCTCTTAGACATGCCCCGGGGGGGGGGGGGAGGGAGGGGGGGATGGGAGGTGGAATCAAAGCCAGACTGCCCTGTGCTGTTGAAGCCCAGTCTGTCCATGGGGACCATCAAGCTGGCCAAAATTTAGCCCCAAAGTCTGCTGGAGGCAGGGCCTGCCAAGGTCCTCCCCAGGAAGCCCTGACGTGGCTCTTGTCTTTCCAGGAGGCCGTAAAGAGTGGTATCCATCGCACGGTCCATGCTGGGGAAGTGGGCTCTGCGGAGGTGGTGAGAGAGGTGAGGAGCCACTGGCCTCGGGACCCCTTCTGGTTGCCCCCTCCACCCCGGCTCACCCCACTCTCTCCTCCTTCTCCACAGGCTGTGGATGTCCTCAAGACTGAGAGGGTGGGACATGGCTACCACACCGTGGAGGATGAGGCCCTTTACCAGAGGCTGCGACGGGAGAACATGCACTTTGAAGTAAGGAGCCAGGGCTGGGGGGGAACTGTCTCTTACTTTCCCTTCCCCTACTAGACAGAGAGGCCAAAACCCAGGTGGGTCCTGTGGGCTGGTCATGGACATCCACAGTAGAGGATTCATAGGCCACAGCAGCAGCAAAGCCAATGCAACCTGGCAAGAATGCGGCACAGCAGGTGGCCCTGCCGCTGCAGGGTGTGGCCTGGGGCTACCTGCTGTGCCAGCCACACACCTGCCCTTGCAGGTCTGCCCCTGGTCCAGCTACCTCACAGGCGCCTGGAACCCGAAAACGGAGCATGCAGTTGTTCGGTGAGATGTTTTGTTCCTGGAAAGCCACGGATGGGAGGGAATGCAGGGTATAGGTACCAGCTCATGCTGGGTCTTAGTTACAAAGTCTCTTCGCTTGGGAAGCAGGTGTGACTGACCTCATCGACAAATGCTCAAGTTTACTGTAATTCGACATTGGCCACCCTCTCCCCTCCATCCTAATTAGCAGAGCCAGGGGCTCTGACAGCAAACTCAGTTCCAGAATGCCACAGAGTGAAATTTCCACACTCCTCTCCTACTTCCTGTTCTGTGCTCCTGGTGCAGCCAGGCACTCCCTAAGGCTGGCTTGGGGCTTGCCCCTGGACAGTCTTTCCCCAAGCTACTTCATCCTATGCCATGTCTATCCAGGCCTAAGGTCCTTCTTTTGTCCAGTGACTGAGCCCTGGAACACAATACCTGGTATCAGGAAGGCAAGGCTGCCTTCTGAGGCAGTAAAAACTGGCAATGGTCGGAGGAGTGCTGGTCTGTCAATCAAGGCTATATGGAGGGGAGGGGCTTGTGCTCTGAGGCTCTGTTGATGGCAGGCCGCCACGCCTGGCTTAGCATGTGGCAAGTAGAGTTTCTTAGAGACACGTGGGAGGTAGTGAAGCGAGAAAGCCTAGGATAGAACCCAGGCCAGTGACATTTAAGGGACAGAAAAAGGAAAGCAAAAAGTATAGTGTCATAGAGATCTAGGGACAAGACCAAGAGGAGTCAACAGTGTCAATTCTGCTACATAAGTCAAGGATGGGAGAGAGCTAGGAAAGAGCCATTAGATTTGATAGGAATCCAGGGTTAGGAAGTAGAGCTGTGGCTCAAAGTGGGGGGGGGGAGAGAATTCAGAGTTCGATTGGGATTAGCCCAGAGGCAAAGTGCTTGCCTAGCAAATACAACATTCTGGGTTTGATCAAAAAGAAAGCTAAGATCTGAGGATCATGGTTCAAAGCCAGCCCAGGAAGAAAAGTCCATGAGAGTCTTATCTCCAGTCAACCACCAGAAAGCCAGAAGTGGTGCTATGGCCCAAAGTGGTAAAATACTAGCCTTGAGCGAAGAAGCACAGTGACAGTGGCATTAAGCTGTGAGTTGCCAGCTAGGTGGCTCTGGACAAAGTCCCCAGAGTTCTCTGAGTTTGTGTCTCTTCTGTGCCAGAATCCAGTCCTTCAGGACTGTCTGAGGCTGTGGGAGGATCAATGGGGACAGGTGGGGGTAAAAGGAACCTTTCTTTTTTCCCAGCTTCAAGAACGATCAGGCTAACTACTCAATCAACACGGATGACCCTCTCATCTTCAAGTCTACCCTGAACACTGATTACCAGATTATCAAAGGGGACATGGGCTTTACTGAGGAGGAGTTTAAGCGGCTGGTAAGTGGGAGTGAGCTGTCACCATGAAGCCGGCCCCAGGGGCTGAGGCCCCATGCAGGGCCTGGAACCTCAGGATTACTGACATGTGCCTAAAAGTCCTAACCTGGGTCAGATGTCCTGTCTGAGGGCCAGGTAGTTTAGCCTTTGCTTCAGTCAAGTGCCCTGAGTGGACCCCTCTCTCTGAGGTTTGCTCAGCTGCTTCTATAGGCCAGGCTGCGTCTCAGTCCTGGGTTCCAGTGTCCCAAATGTGTCCCTGAATGGCTCTTTGCCCCCCCCCCATCCCACCGCATCCCTCCAGGCCTTGGCTAACCTACTGCTTACATCCATGCCATGTGGTCCTGTGTTAAGAACCACATGGTCTCTGCTCTGAGGCTTGCTGCCATGGCTGGGGATTCCCTGCCATGTCCTATGAAGAGCAGGGACTGTCCCTGGGTCAACAAGGGCTCCCCTCTTGCTCTGGCTCCATATCTCCCTCTCTGGCCCTTCTAGAACATCAATGCAGCAAAGTCCAGCTTCCTCCCAGAGGACGAAAAGAGGGAGCTCCTCGACCGGCTCTATAAAGACTACAACATGTCACCCCAGAAGGCTGGTATGTTCCTGCCTAGGCCTGCCTTGGCTCCCGCTTGGCCTTGTGTTTGACTTCTAACAAGAGCACTTCTTGGGCAGCACCAAGCATGTGTGATGACTGCTTGGCGCTCTCATGGCCACCTCTCAGCAGCGGCTTATTTCTGTGTGACTGTTTGCCTGAGGGGAAACTTCCTGATGGCCAGTCTACACCATCTGGGGCAGCTTGTGCTGTTGCCATGCCTGCCTAAAGCCCAGGGCAGGGAGCTGGGCCAGGTCCTCATTTTGTTCCTACCTTCCTGGGTGGCCTCAGTGGAGCACTCCCTTGCTCAAAGCCTCAGTCCTGTCACCTGTAGAAGGGGTTCCTTCCTGGTTTTGGAGTGCTGTGATTTTTACACTACACTGCTGACTTCTGCTCCTCTGACTTGACCAGCAGGGCAGGACCCCTGAAGAGGACTTGGCTACCTCTGAGCCCTCACCCTGTGGATGGTATCTTCACAACTCCGTGGGATCAAGTGACACTCTGACCTTTATTTCTTCCAGGAAGACTGAGCCAACCGTCAGCTCCTGATGCTCTTATAGCTGTAAGCCTGTCTGTGTACAGACAGACCTTTGTAGGGCCTTGTCTCTCCTCTGATCATGTACCAACGGCACATACGAATCTGGAACCTCCTCCTAAGGTGATTCATGCTAAAAAAAAAAAATCTGGTGTTCAATAAAGCAGCTGGTGACTGGTGTGGTGCAGCACATGTGTGTGGTCTTGGGCTTGTGATTTAGGTAGCAAAGAGAATGGAAGGGCACTGGGAATGGCACATGGGCAGCCTGCTCAGCAGCAAGGGTCCTAGAGCCCTGTAAAGGCTGTGAATGGAAACTCAAGAGTCTGAAAGAAATGAGGCTTCCTAGCCTGGCACCGGTGGCTCACTATTCAGGAGGCTGAGATCTGAGGATCGCAGACTGGGCAGGAAAGTCCGTGAGACTCTTATCTCCAATAAACAACTAGAAAACTGGAAGTGGCGCTGTGGCTCAAGCGGTAGAGCACTCACCTTGAGCTGAAGAGTGCATAGTGCCCAAGCCCAGAGTTCAAGCCCCATGACCAACCAAAGGAAAAAAAAAGAAAAGAAATGAGGCTTCCTAGGTGCTGTCCATTTAGATAGCCCACTGTGCTCTTGGCTCTACTCTGAGCTTAAGTGGAAAACATGCTTTTGGTGCTCAAAGCTATGGGCTGTGAGACAGGGCAGGTGAGTGGAGGAAGGGCTTATCGGACACAGAACCAGGAGCACTGCTGGTCGCGAAAGGACACTGGCATCTTCTTAGAAGTGTGTTCTATGCGAGCCTGGGAGGTTACAGCCCAGCTGACAACGGACTTGAGAAAACAAGGCCTCCAGCCTCTGCTTTCACTGTTCAAAGGAAAGAGAAATCAGTCACACAAATCAGCTTTATTTCTCAGGGCCTAAGTGTCACTTATCTTGGTAGAAAGGGCAAAGAATCGGTCAGTTAGCTTAGATCCCAAATCCTTTCCCTAACAATGGACCTGTGAAGCTCCATGAGGGAGCCTCAGAGCTGCATAGATGGTCAGAGCCAGCTTGAAACAGCTTCCAGAACAAAAAGGAATTGATTGTCAGCTCCCTCCCTCTGCTGAAGAAAGGTTTGAAGTTTTTACAAAAGTTTAAAAGTGTTTCTTAAAAAAGGGATACGAAGGTCTTGGCCCAGAGGCTGGGGTTGGAAAGGAGGGGCGGTGCCAGGACACGCTCAGTCCCATCCAGATGGCCGCAGAAGGAACGTGACCTGGCTGTTCACCTGGTAGACAGGGCCTGACCCGAGCCCTGCCCCACTGAATAAATAACATCCTGTGGTTACAGCATCTTCAAAGTGTACCTGGGCATGGTGAGAGGGTGGTGGTTATGGGGAACCTGTGGGGTGGGCAGAGAGCTTTCTGAGAAGGGGCCATGGAGGCCTCCACAGGGCTTCATAGTTTGGCCTGGCACATGGGCTCAGAGAAGAGGCTACTTGGCCAGTGCCAGGGCTCTTGTTCCGGGGGGGAGGGGGACAGCAGGTCTCTCTTCCAGCCTCTGTGGACAAAGGCAGACTCAAGATGAGGTGGTTCCATCACAACTCTCAGGTTGGTTGCTGGCCTCCTTGTCAGAAGTGCTTGCTTCTGCCTGTCCTTCTGGAGAGGAAAGGAGAGCATGTTTTCTTGGGGAACTGGAGGAGAACAGCCAAACTGATAAAAGTAGCTAAAGCTCCAGATTATGGCAAGAGCTGGACTGGGGGTGGCAGTGGCCAAAGATCATCAGCCAGCTGTCTAATATCTTAACCCAGACATGCATGGGGAGTTGCTAGTATAATAAGTCAATTGAAAGTGACGATGGTAGACAGGTGCTGGGAGCATGGGGTGAAGGGAGTTGTACGGGTTCCCCAGAGGGAGAAGGCAAATGTCAAGTCCCCAATGTGAACTGAGTGAATGGGAGTATGTTAGAAAACCATGTAGGATGCTGAGCAGGCCAGCTTAGGAGTACCAGGTGCCAGGCCTTCCTCAAGGCACCTTTAAGGGTGTTGTGACACATCCTGGATATATGTGTCTACATTACACTGTATTTAGGAAGCCTGATCCAGCTTATTACTGACAGCCTCTACCCCCTTTCTATCCAAGACAGCCAGAAACCTAGGGGGGTGGGGAGGAGAGTGGGGACAGCAGCACACAGCAACAACTAGCCCAGTAAGTTGGGGTGGAGCCTCATTAAAGCCTCACTGTGGAAGAGGTAACGGGAGGTCCTGCCATCGCTCACTATACCAGCAGTGCAGGGTGAGAGGAGGTGTTGAGGCCAGCAGGGCTTCTGAGGACCAGAAGGGTTCTACTGTGGCTAGGCTTAGAGAGTAGGAGGGGAGGAGTGAGCTGAGGCTGGACAGGGAAGCAACAGGAAACCCAAAGAAGCATTTACTCCACCCTAGGACTAAGGGCTGACCAAAGGGGCTCTTGAGTGGGGTACAGAGGAGAGGTGTCAGGGACTCTTAAAGCTGCCTTGCTAACATGGTAACTTGATGGATAGCCCCAAGAAAGCCACCCACGTTCTCAGTCTGTCCATCTCTAACAGGAGAGGGTTGCACTGCTGCTCTCCCAAAGTCTTCTGTCCTTGGAGGTCCCCCCTCCTGGCATCAAGGACCAATAACTCTAGACTGGAGCTGCACACAGAAAGCCAAGGCTACAGCCCTGTAAGGACTGTCCCCCCTGCACACAGTACACGGCAGTGTCCTGGGGGAAGAGCCAGGTCACGGGTCAGAGGATGACCCAAGGACTTGAGCTGCGCAGGGTCCTCTGGAAGGACAGGAGAAAGGGAGGAACGAGACATGTCCTAAGCTATCCCTGAGTAGATACACAGCCTTCCACCCAGGCCTTCAATCAGCCAGTGATTTCCAAGCTCCTGCCACATGCGGGCAGAACAAAGGCCCCTGCTTTCCCAGAGCTCAAATTTAAACAAATGAGCCCTTGTCCTGTGAGTCATGTGAGTGTGGAGGATGGAAGCTGTCACCCATACAGGAAGCCCCATAGAGCACCTACTATCTTCGTTGGGATGTATCCTGAAGGAGAACCAACAGGACATGCAGGTGGACTGGGGCAGGGGGAGGGGAGATGCCCTGGATGCCAGCATCCTCCAGCCTTCAGCCTGGCTGGACTCTGCCATTGACTGTGAGATGGGCCCGGTTTAAATGCAGCTGCTTCTTTGGGCAGTCTAGGAATGGGGGCCAGCCTAGAGCTGGCAGAAGCTCCCTCCCCCCACCACTGGGATGATGGAGACACTGGCTCTGACCTGCCCCCTCCAGTGCCAGCTCGCCCATGTCTCCAGCCAGCTTCCGCACGCTCACGGCCTCCGAGTCGCCTTGGATGTCAGGGACTGCATTCCGACGGCCTGTCCGGTCACAGGAGATGAAGTCCGAGTAGGAGGACTCGACCTCCATCATGCCTGTTGCATTGCTCCTTGGGCCTATGGGGACAGAAGGCAGAGGGGCAGAAGTGAGGTGGTGAAACTTTCTGACAAAATGAGATACTTAGTACTTGTTTCAAGTTTCTGTTCTGTTTGAAGACAGAACAGAAGGCACACAAAAGTACACACAGCTACTAAGTTACTGGTCATTTCATACCCACACAGCCACCATTCACATCCTGAACAGGTGTTCAGTCTTATTCTAAGAGACTGGTTAATATTTCCATATTTATCAACACCATGTGCCAGACACTGGCTGGAGCTGTGGACACAGCAGTGAACACATCGTCCCTGCCCTCACAGAGCTACTGCAGGTATCAAACTGCATGGCATCAAACCATCTAGGACTGAGGCTAAGACCAGGGTGCTCAGGGCTTCAGGGGAGAAAGCAGGACATGGAAGTGACCACCAGGATCTGACCATGGCTGACCAGGGGTCAGGAAGAGACCCATCGGTCAAGATCCAAGAACAAACAGCCATTGTGTAATGGGCAGCAGAGGAAGAACATCACAGATGACTCATGAGTGGGCCTAGAAATGTGGAGTTAGGAGACCCCTGTGGAGGCTCAGAAGTGAGAAAATGGTGGGGAGCAAAGGTGACAGTGCGCCAGATGCTGCAGGTATGGAGGACAAAACAACAGGACTGAAGTGTTTGGCTTGTGGAGACTTAGGTTCCTGTCCCCTGCCACTGTGAGGAATGATAGGAAGAGTATTTGGGGAGTGAAGTAGGTGGAAAGGTAGAGTTCTAGCTCGCCACACTGACATCAAGATGTCGGAAGCATTCCAATGGGAGAGGCAGAGTGGATCAGAGAGCAAGGAGGTTGAAGATCAGAAGAGGTGGGAAAGGGGGTTAGAAAGGAAAGATGTGAAATTAGGAATGATTGCTAACATGACATGGTTAACGGTCCTAAAAAAATCCTAGAGATAGAAGATGACCACATACACAAAGATGAGCCAGCCATGAACACTTAAGGATTATTCGGGGATCAAGATCTATGGCTTACTCTTTGGAACAAAGGCCCTACACCAATCTAAAGCTCTTAAATAAAGGCAGTAACAAAACTGTGTGAGGCAATCCCATCTATCTCCAGCAGATGGTGCGTGCTGCTTGACTTTTTTCTTAGCTGCCTCCAGAGCTAGCTGACTGGCTGCACTAGTCAGCTCAAACTTTCCCAGTGGTGGTTCCTTGTACTGGTCACAGGGTTAGGGGGATGGCCTGTTGCAATCATGACAAAAACAGTAACATCACCAAGTACAGATTACAACAATGCCAGAAACAGTACAGACAACATTTATTGTTGTGCTTTACAAATGTCACTTGATTAATGGCCATTAAGCAAGTCATTAAGTGGTATAACTTTATCACCACAACTCTCAGGCTGACTAATCTGGCTCCTGGGCTCCAGGCTCTTCTTCTACATAATACCAGCTGCCAATAGGCAGACTGTGGGCAGGCCACACCTGTTTCCTCATCTCCTGTGCTCAGAACAGCAGCTCCATGACAACAGGCATTTTAGTCTGGGTCTTCACCACCCTAGACTGAAGGGCCAACAGTGGCGGCTAAGTTCACATGCTCTGCTCCTCCTCCTCCTCCCCAAAGCTCTACTGGCATCAGTTAAAGGGTAGGTGATTTGCACTAGGGTGTGGCTCAAAAGATAGAGAGCTCACCTAGAAAGCACAAGTTCCCTCACCCCCCACCCTCCACAAATACTCTTTGGATTTCTTTTTCTTTTTTTTTTTTTTTCTTTTTTTTGGTCCGGTCATGGGGCCTGAACTCTGGGGCTGGGCGCTGTCCCTCAGCTCTTCAGCTTAAGGCTAGCGCTCTACTACTTGAGCCATAGCGCCACTTCCGGTTTTTTTCTTTTTGCTTATGTGGTGCTGAGGAATCGAACCCAGGGCCTCATGCATGCGAGGCAAGTGCTCTACCACTGAGCCACCTTCCCAGCCCCTACTCTTTGGATTTCATAAATACTCTTTTGGATTTCTACCCATCCATCCACTTGTCTACCTGCCCAACTACCCACCCACCATTCTCCCATGCACCCATTACAGGTGGGTGCCCATCATTCCTCTCCCCTTTCTCTCTCTTTGGGAACAGCAGAGACTCATTGTCAGGACTATTGGGAAAGGCCTCTGTCCCCCACACAGCACTGGCTTGCTATCTCTAGGACCTGACACCATGGGATAAAGTTGCACTCACCTAGAATGCCAGCCTTGTGCTGGCACAAGGGCTCTGCCCTTGCCCTTGCCCCGTCTGGCCTTACATGCTGCCCAGCAGAAAGGTGACTCTTTCTGTCATGGAAAGGGAATGCTGCCAAGCTCAAAACTCAATCCTGGAAAACATCTACTGAGCCAGGGTGCTGGGGCGCTCCACCCCATCCCTCAGGGAACAGCGATTCCAAACAGGTCTGGGAACTCTCCCAGCCAAAGCCTCAGTGCCTAGTTTTCTTTTTTGTCCATGTTTGTATTCTTCTCCACTCACACCCCTGCTCTTTCCAGTCAGTAGCAAAGCAAAAAATTAAAGGAAGAACCTTTAGAACTGGAAATGTGCTAGAATTTTCTGCTATTCTCAGGGGATTCTAGACTGCACTGAAGCCAGCATCAATCTTTGTTCAGTTTCACTGTTACCGAAAATGAAACCTGCCACCTCTCTAAGGAGCAGCCTAGCAAAAAACTCACCTTTTTAAATATTCATGAACCACTAAGAGAGTTTATAATAATTTTTTCTATGAAAGCAATCCAAGTTATACGTGAAATAAATGCAGAGATTCTCCATAAAGATACTTTAGGGGTTCTCATAATAGACAAGTCAAATGTCCTAAATGTACAATGAAAAAAAAATACGTATCTCTAAGCAATTTATATCCAACTGAAATATCACTTAGACACTAAAGTAGTATTCGTGAATATTTTTAAAAGACACAGAAAGCTGGGTCTGGTGGTACATGCTTGTAATCCCAGCAATTAGGAGGTAGATGTGGGAGAACCATGAATTTGAGGCCATTCTGGACTACTGAGCAAGAGCACAATAGGAGCTAAAGCTGACCTCTAAGCTATGGGGGAACTGAGGAGTCACCTCATTTCCCCAGCTTCCTTCCCTCACCCCTTCCAGATAACAAGATAAAATATGATCCCCAAGTCTCTTCAGTTCTGACATCTCATTCATTCATTCATTCATTCATGCAATCACTGTGTACTGAGTACTCTCTATTTGACAGGCACTCTGCCTGATATGGGGTTTATATTGTAGACTAACCATAAAAACTAATCTATCATAGCAGTGATGATACATGCTGTAGAAGAGGGATCCTGCCATGTGTGTGTGGGTTCTGACAAAAGTGGCAGGTGGTATGGTTGGAAGGGTCGCCTTGGGCTGGAGGGTCTCCTTAGGAAGGTGGCTTTGAGCTAAAATTACAAGAAAGGCAAATGGAGTATGATCTACACCGAGGCAACTGCCAACCAGAGTCTAACAGCTGCCATCTAACATCTATTAGCTTGAGCCCCGAGGATACTAGAGAAAGAAGCTCTTTCTTACTCACAGAGGTTTGGGGTCACTGTGGGGGTCTGGATGCTGACAGATACTCATGGAGGAAGGGAAAATCTCTGAATGAATGAAAGAGGAAGAGAAAGAGAGAAGGGAGGGAAGGAAGGATGGGAGGAAGGAAGGGAGGGAGGAAGGAAAGGAAGAGAGGGAGGGAAGGAAAGGAGGGAGGGAGGGAAGGATGGAAGGGACAAACAGAGCTAGTATGGTGGCTCAGGCCTGTAATTCTATCTACTCAGGAGGATCTTGACACTAGCCCTGGAAAAAAAAGTTCACAAGACCTTATTTCAACCAATAGAGAACTGGGTGCAAAGCCAGGCGCAGATGGCTCATGCCTATAATCCTAGCTCAAAGTGGTAGAGTGCTAGCCTTGAGCTAAAAAGCTCAGGGACAGCCCTAGACCTTGAGTTCAAGTCCCACGACTGAAAAGACTGAAAGTGGCACACATCTGCCATCCCAGCTACACAGAAATTATAAATAGGAAGATAACAATCTAGCCAGCCGAGGCTAAATTTGAGGCCTTATTCAAAAAGTAATAAGAGCAAAGAAAGCTGGAGACATGATTCAAGTGATAAAGCGACCACAATGCCCTGAGCTCAAGCCCTTGTACTGCTCAAAAATGAAAAATCAAAACAAACAAACAGGAAATGACCTTTCAAATATATTTGGAAAGCAATTTGGAGCTAAAATGGAATTTGCCTGAGTGATGAGGACTAATAGCTAGACTTGGAACAGACTGTGTAGCTTTTGGCACAGTCCAGGGGCTCTTCCGTTTACAAATCTGAGGAGTGTAGTAAAAACAGAGAGAAGTGGCTTCCTGTGGGAACCCTGCCATGCCCAGAGCAGCACCTGCCCAGCTGTGGGCTGCAGCCTCGGACCCAGGACCCAACAGCCCTGGTACCAAGGGGACACAAGGCCGCAGAAAACGTGTCCTGTCTTCCTCCCGGTCCCCAGCCTCATAACAAGTCATTTCTGAAGGAAGGGAAAGAAAGCAAAGAATCCCCAAGAAAATATACAATGCTAGTCAAACTATTTTGGAGTTTCATCTGGAGGTAAAATATCTTTGATGTTTTTGTATGAACTTCTACCGTATTCAAACTTCACAGCAAAGTAAAAACAATTATTTTGGAGTACACATTTTAAAAACTCTTACACACATTAGAAAAATCTAGTTATACTGGGCCCTGTGACAGGCCAGTGTTGTTACTTCAAACAGGGCTGGGAACAGGAATGGTGATTTAAACTCAGCAATCCACAAGTCTGTACTTCTATGGAGGTCTTTAGAATAAGGCATGATAGCCTAGCTGGACTGCTGGATGTGGTTGGTCGGGCATGCTGGGTCTCCACAGACCTCTTGCCTTCTGCCAATATCTGTACATTATCTGAACTCTGTGGGGCTCAGCTACAAAGCAAGGTTCCCAGAGAGGCAGCTTCCATCTTTGTGAAGGGAGTGGCAGGAA